AAGGGAGCCATCTCACTAATTCCCCCATCCCCTGGGGTCCCCAGGCCTGCTGGCATAACCAAATCTTAAGGGACTTCTGGAAGAATGACGAGGTCGACGTCACCTCACGGGAGAAGATTCCACAGCACAGGTGCCACAGAAAAGGCCAGCTGCCTGAGGCCTGCCAAATGTAGCTCCCTAGGCAACAGAACCTGTAACATACCCTCTCTGTTAGATCTGGTAGGACAGGCAGATGAAATTGGGGAGTGGCCATCCCTCAGATAGCCTGGCCCCATGCCATGAAGACCTTTAAAGGTCAACACCAGCACCTTGAATTGGACCCGGAAACAAACTGGTAACCAACACAGCTCATGAAGCAGAGGTGTTTCGTGTGTTATACTAGAAACACACATAACTGCTTGCGCTGCTGGATTTTGCACTAGCTGAAGTTTCCAGATACTCTTCAAGGGCAGCCTCATGTAGAGCGCATTGCAGTAGTCTAACCAGGAGGTGACCAGGGCATAAGTGACCATGAGTAGGTCCCTCTGATCTAGGAATGGACACAACTGGTGCATAATACAAAGTTGTGCAAAGGCCCTCCTAGCCACAACTGCCACCTGCTCTTTGAGCAGGAGTCATGAGTCCAGGAGGACCCCCAAATTGTGCACAGGGTCTATTTGGGGCAATGCAACCCTATCCAGAACCAAAGATGGTAAAATCCTAGAACCAGAGGGGTGCAAAACCCAAAGCCACTCAGTCTTGCCAGTGTGCTTTTTCATGTTTTTAATTTTTTAAGAAAAATGAAAGAAGTAGGGCTTATTTCACATCTTTTAATAATTCAGGTTAAACTTGACATATCCTCATTCCTTTTGAGATGTTTGCTAATTATGTTTTTGGTAGAAGTGCTTGCTAATGATGGATAAAGCTAGAACCAAAGGTGAAGCCATTGCTGTTTCAAACACTAGCACAAGGTTTATAATAACTTGCTCAGCATATTTACAATGCTGAGAGTCAATCATGTGTATCATACCTCCCTGGAGCTGGCAGTTCAGAAAATGACAACTCTTCTGAGTGCTTTGTGGCTGGAATTGGACTTGTTTCCGAAGAAGACAAGCTTTCTGTGTGGTCTGAATCCCAAAACATAAACCTGTCACCCTTAAACAAACAGCTCTCCATCATTCAGGATCTGAATGTTCATTCAGAATCAAACCCTAAACTGGTTAACACTGAACCACACTCTCAGAGCATTCATTTCTGTCTTTCTGATCAGCTCCTGCTTTTATTTACTT